GACAGAGCCGGCGTTGTTGCGTGTGCCCTTCCTCCCCCCTCCTCCTCCTCCTCCTCAGCGCCCCCGGTGGCCGGCATGGTCCCCCGCTCCCCCCTCTTTGTGTCTCTGTTGCTTTATTGCTTTTGGTTTTCACCCCTTCTTGGTGCTGCTCGCATAGATGCCGAACTCCGGGGCCCTTCCTGAGCATCTTTCCTCAGGGATGCTCCCTATTCCGCACCCAGCATGAGGGTGCCCGATGGATGCAGGAGCTTCCCGAGCATCTTCCCTGTGCTCCATCCAGCATGAGGGTGCCCACTGGATGCAGGAGCTTCCCGAGCATCTTCCCTGTGCTCTGTCCGGCACGAGGGTGTCCTGTGGATACAGGAGCTTCCCAAGCATCTTCCCCTCCCCATCTCCCTGTGCCCCATCCACTGCAAAACTCGCCTTCCTTAAAATTACACGAATGTCCATCCGACTTGCTGAGCGCCCTGCTTCGCCCTGCAGCCTTTCCCGCTTTGGGGAATGTCGGCACAGCACCCCTGGCATGGAAGGCCCATGTGTGCAGCTATTGGGGTCCGCAGCTGCAGGAAAGGGGGGAAGGAAGGGAAAACTGGGGAATTCCAGCGTGCTGCCTCCCGAGCGGTGCAGGGAGGGAGTGATCCAGCAGCCGTAACGAGCGCGGGTGTTTACTGAAACTTTAGGATTTGGGGCAGTTGTTACCAAATGTGGAGGAGATCAAGAGCAAAAATCTGCATCGTAGCAGCCAAGCAGCTGAGGAGTTGTGCGTGGCAGGTATCTTGGTAATTGCCAAGCTGGGTGTTTTTCTTGTAATTTGCATGTTTGTTTTGCTTTTATGTGCTTAGGTTGTTTTTTTTTATTATTTTTTATTGTCTCTGGATAAAGAGGATTAAAGAGTTTATGTTTTTAAAGCAGCGTGTGTTTACAAACCCCCGTTGATGTGCTTTCCTTTCCCAGAGAGGCAGGTTTCATTGGCCAGAATGCCCAGGGGCCAAGTGGCAACCATTTATATTTCATTCCCAGCCTGACAATTTGCGCAATACCAGGTAAAAACAAGAAGTGGTGGTGGGAGCAGGTACCCTGGATGTGAAGATGACTTGGAGTCTGTATGGAGGTGAAGGAGAATTACAAAATAAAGAGTCAGCGTGGCTCTGGGTGGAAGCCCTACCTGACAGGCTGGAGAAACTGCTCGTGTCCCTGCAGCGCATCCGCGATGTCCGGGAGAGAAGGTGCTCCAGGCAGCGAGCTGCGGTACGGAAAGGGCCCGGACCCCTAATCCCTCAGTAGTGGAATCCGGCTGGGAAGAGATGGGTTTGGAGCAGCCCTCACGCAGCCATCCATGTGCCACCACCTCTCGCGTTCCCTGTCTTCACTCGGATCCCTGACGGGCCCCGGAGCGAGGCAGTGACCCCCCAGCACCCTCCGCTCTCTCTCGCTTTCGCTCTTTATTCGGTCGATTTTGGTGGTTTTGAAATTGCAGGTGTTTTGCTCGCGTGTTGCCCTGGTCCCTGCTGCGGTGGCTGGTGCCAGGTGGCCGGAAGCCTCTTCCCCTATTAGCAAGCCCTCAAGTATGTGGAACCCACTGAGCTCGCAGCGTGGGGGGTCCTGCGGAGTCCTGGTTGTGAAAACTTATGGAGGAAACACGGGAGGAAAACAGGGATCCTCTCCCAGGATGCGGAGCCTTCCCGCTGCTGGGAAGTTCGTGCCTCCGGGTCGCGAGCGGAGGCGTTCCCA